TGTCTCCCTCCAGGTCACCCCTCTCTCAGGGTTGTCTCAGTCTCTCGGACACTCGGGCTCTTATCTCCGCTCTGGGATTGTGGTTTCGGGACTCTCCCTGCTCTGGGATCATTGGCCAGGAACAGGCTGAGCCTTGGTCACCGGGTGGTGAGCAGTGTCACTGGGTGTCACTCATCCCTTGTCCTCCCCTTCCAGCGCGAGTGCATCTCTGTCCACCTTGGCCAAGCCGGAGTGCAGATCGGCAACGCGTGCTGGGAGCTCTTCTGCCTGGAGCACGGCGTCCAGCCCAACGGCACCTCTGCCGAGCAGCCCACCGCCGACAACCCTTCTGCCGTGTTCTTCAGAGAGACCGTCTCCGGGAAACACGTGCCGCGGGCCGCGCTGGTGGACTTGGAGCCAACGGTCATAGGTCAGGACAGACTCATCCTGGGGAGCAGGGAGGAATTAACTCCTCTGGTGGCACAGTTCAGGTCACTGCAGAGCAGGACAATGCCCTGACTGTTAGGGAGGACCCCAACAGGCAGCGAAAACATTCAGATTTTCTGGTTTTAGTACCAGGTGTTACTCAAAGCTCTGTTCTTCTTGATGAACAGCTGAAAATGGGGCTGCGCTCCATCATGGGCGTTCAACTAGTAACAAAATCCCAAGTGGACTCTTGTTTTAGCCTCCACTGGGTAACAGCACGATTCAGCTTTCTCAAAGAGATTCCTTTCTGGTCTTTTATTTTTTCTGGTGATATTTTTCCTTTGCTAAGTGATGGAAATGCTTTCCTCCCATTCAGACGTAAGAGAGGAGCATGACGAATCAGACTGCAGAAGTCTCCTGACAGATTTTTGTTTACTCTGACAAATCTTCTTTTTCTAGGAAGTCATAGAATCACAGAATCCCAGAGTGGTTTGGGTGGGAAGGGACCCTAAAGCCCACCCAGTGCCACCCCCTGCCATGGGCAGGGACCCCTCCCACCAGCCCAGGTTGCCCAAAGCCTCATCCAGCCTGGCCTTGAACCCCTCCAGGGATGGGGCATCCACAGCTTCTCTGGGTACCCTGGGCCACTGCCTCACCCCCCTCAGCATCCAAAAAATCTTCCTCATTTCTCATCCAAACCTCCCCTCTTCCAGCTTCAGCCCGTTCCCCTGGTCCTGTCCCTGCACCCCCTGACCCAGAGCCCCCCCAGCTCTCCTGTAGCCCCCTTTCAGCCCTGGGAGGTGCTGGAAGGTCTCCCCGGAGCCTTCTCTTCTCCACGCTGCACACCCCCAACTCTCTCAGCCTGTAGTCTTCAAGTCATCCCCCCGAAGGTTCTGATGGATCCATGTATGGAGCTGAGATTGTCCCGCAGTGTGGCACAGCCCTCATTTGACACGTGAATTCATTTGTACAACACATCAACCTCCACCTGGAGCAGAGCCCACTGCTTTTTTTTGCAAAACTGAGAACACCTCTGATGATAGTCCTCACCTCTGTCCTTTGTTTTTCACCATACAGACCTTCCACACCATCTTCTACCAACAAAAAATACTCCTTTGGTTTTACAAACATGAACCTTGGTGAATTCTCTCTTCCAAGCTTCTGCTTTTTTCTCTCTTATTCAGACGAAGTGCGGACTGGCGCCTACCGGCAGCTTTTCTCTCCCGAGCAGCTGGTCTCTGGGAAGGAAGATGCAGCAAATAACTATGCACGCGGCTACTACTCTGCCGGCAAAGACAAAATCGACATGGCGTTGGATTGCATCCGCAAGCTGGTACGCGCTATTCCGTTGAAACACGGCCTCGGGAGGGCGGGGTGGGAAATAACACCACAGACATTATTTTGGTGGGGACTCTCAGTTTGCTTTCACTCTTGTCACTGCCCCAGAACAGAGAAACGCGGGTCCCAGGCGTCCCGTCTTCGTTTTCATAGGAATTGTAGACTCAACTGGAAAACCTCAAATATTGCTCTGGCATGATTATTGCAAGAAAAAAAATTAGTACTGATATTTATTGATACTGATTGATGCTCTCTATTGATACTCTCTGTTGATACTCTATTGATACTCTAATGATACTCCAGCCTGAGGTTTACTGGGGAAAACAGACAAGGAGAATTTTCGGGAGAAACCGATGACTTTGTGTGGAGCACCAGGTGGGGGTGCTGCTGTCCCTGTTTGAGGATGTCATTGAAAGTTCCCTCATTCTGTCACTTCTCCTATTGGTCTCAGGCTGATGGCTGCTCCGGGCTGCAGGGATTCCTGATCTTCCACAGCTTCGGCGGGGGCACCGGCTCCGGCTTCTCCTCCCTCCTGATGGAACATCTTTCCGTGGAATACAGCAAGAAGTCCAAGCTGGAGTTCACCATCTACCCAGCCCCTCAGCTTCTCACCACCGTGGTGGAGCCCTACAACTCCATCCTGACCACGCACGCCACCCTGGAGCACTCCGACTGTGCCTTCCTGCTGGACAACGAGGCCATCTGCGACATCGCCCAGCGGAACCTGGACATTGAGTTCCTCACCTACACCAACCTCAACCGGCTCATCAGCCAGACCGTCTCCTCCGTCACAGCCTCGCTGCGCTTCAGTGGTGCCCTCAACGTGCAGCTGAGGGAGCTCCAGACCAACCTGGTGCCCTACCGGCGCATCCACTTTCCCCTGGTGACCTACAACCCCATCATCTCCTCTGACAGAGCGTACGACAGGCCACTTTCGGTGGCCGAACTCACCAGCTCCTGCTTTGAGCCCAACAACCAGCTGCTGAAGTGTGACCTGGGGCGGGGGAAGTACATGGCCTGCTGCATGCTCTACCGCGGGGACGTCGTGCCCAAAGACGTCAACGAAGCCATCGCTGCCATCAAGACCAAGAGAACCATCCGGTTTGTTGACTGGTGTCCAACGGGCTTCAAGGTGAGTATGGCCGCTGTCAACGTCTCCTTCATGTTGTGATGGTTTTACCCTTGGCTGGGAGCAACTCCACGCAGCCGCTCACTCACTCTCCTAAAGGGGGAAAGAGAAAAAAAGACTCATGGGTTGAGATAAGAACAACTTAATAACTGAACTACAATAATGTTGGAAATAATAATAATGATAATAGTATTGGGGATTGCCGATATTGGGGAATCCTCCAGTTATCCCCCTCACCCAGAAATATCACCCAGCCTCTCCCCACTGGTTACGCAGCAGTGCTGGGAAACATGAGTTCAGCAATAATACTGACATGAAGAGTGGAAAAACTTTTCTCCTGCAAATATCTGGTTTAAGAATGAAAACTTGTAACTCGGCACCAACGGTCTGGGTTGGGTTCTAGAGAGTCTCTTGGTGAAGCTGTATGTTCAGCATTGAGTAGCTCTTAAGAGAGCCACGAAGTTGCCAGTGTACATCAAACCGAAGAGTAATACCAACATTAAAATGATGACACATCATGCCATTTATGACGTCGTCATTTTTCATGGCATTCGCCATCTGGTAGTTCCGATGGTGCCACGGCTCAACCCCAGCATCTGGTGCTTCGCTCACCTTTTTTCAGCTCTTTGGCTGTTTTCTCCTCTTCCCTTTTCACAACCGTCTCTCATCTTCCCATTTCCAGGTTGGGATCAGCTCCCGGCCTCCCGCCGTGGTTCCGGGCAGGGCCCTGGCCCCAGTTCCGCGCACGGTTTGCATGCTGAGCAACACCACGGCCGTGGCAGAGGCGTGGGCACGGCTCAACCGCAGGTTCGACCTCCTGTTCACCAAGAAAGCGTTCGTGCACTGGTACGAGGGTGAGGGCATGGAGGAGGCAGAGTTCACGGAGGCACGGGAGGACCTGGCGGCCCTGGAGAAGGACTACAAGGAGCTGGGAACAGACGTGTTTGAGGAAGAAAATGAGGAGGAGGAGTACTTCTGAAATACACGTTGTTCTCAGTGAGCACAGGATTGTCGCTGTATCGCACGTGTCTGCCATCGGGTCACCTTTGGTGTGTCATATACAGAAACGCATGAGGGATCCTATAGAGACAACTTTTATTCCGTAAATCACACGTGTCCTGTAGGATACGATCAGTTGTTGTAACGTTCTCTAGCAATGAGCAAGTTCCACTGGGAACTCAGGGAACACGTGAGCAGTGAGATGGTGCTGGGTCAGTCTTTCCAGACGATGAGGGTGATTCACCCCTCCCCAGGAATTACAGGACCTGCTGCCCTTGAAGAGTAAAATATCCTGGAGTGGGGGAGCTTTTGTTATCACACATCCTGAAACTTCATTTTAACATGAAAATTCCACTCCTGAGTGCCTGCCAAACCTCCTGAATTCAGACCCTCACTCACCGAGCATGCATAGCAAATGTAAGGAACACCGTGCCTTTGAACTGAATCGGGAAAAGAACTCATCAACTGCAGTTAAGAAATAAAAACTCACTAATTAGAGTTAGAAGGAAGCAGTAGAGACAACAGAACGAACATTTCCAGATGTGTAAACACACAAAAGGACTGTAAGCAGGTATGCTAGCTCTGTGGATGACCACCCAGCGCCCATCTCTGCGCAGACACGCGATAAAACAATGTCATGACTCTGGGTGTGCATTGACTCATTGCACACCAGGTGACAAACTCCAGTTT